CATCAGTGGCCCGGGGCCGTGCTGCCCACCCGGCGCTCATCGCCCGAAGCTGCCAGGGAGGCCCTCGCCCTCTGCCCCCGCGGGCAGCCGGGACCCAGCCGGCGCAGGGGAGCCGGAGGAGGCGCAGCCCTCAGTTCCCCCGGTAAACCTCGATCTTGCTGGTTTTGGCCAGCATGTCGATGATGTGCGCCTCGAAGTCAGCATCGTGCACCCCCGTCTTCCTGAACTCCCCAGCATAGCGGTTGTTCTCCCAGTAGTGGTGCCAGTTGCCCCGGCTGTCGGCGCCGAAGCCGAAGACGTTCACCTGCGGTGGGGAAGAGGGGGGTGAGCCAGCCCTGACCTCCCCGCCGGGCTGGGGACCCCCTCGGCCAAGCAATCGCCATGCTGCCAGGGGGATTTGGCACTGTGCCGAAGGTGTACATCCCCCTGCACAGCCTTTCTACTGTTCACGGGTGCCCATCACCGTGGTGTTAGGCAATGGGAGCAAGTGAAACTGCTGCAGTTGGACCCAAGGAAGCCACCTCCTTCCTTAACCCTGCAAAGTTTGGGATCCCAGCAAACCCATCCCATGCCAGCCAGGACCCCACAGCCCATCTGGGACCCCACAGCTCATCCAGGACCCAACAGCCCAGAGGAGGACCCTGAGGAGCCATCACCCACCTCGTCGCAGACATGGAGGGCGAAGAAGAGCACCAGCATGCCGGTGGAGGGGTAGCGCCCGTGGTGCTCTGTCCAGCGGTCGTGGATATACTTGAAGAAGGCAGGGTTGTAGATCTGCACCTGGGAGGACGGGCTGGGGTCAGCACCAGAGCCCTGGCCACGCTCCCTTTGGCTTCAGCACCCCGGGAAGATGGGGTGACGGGGGCCATGGCCAAACGGGTGCACCCGCAGAAAAGGCTTCACGGGCGCGTATGTGCTGGGGAAAAAAAGCAGAGAAGCAGGTGAGCTCCCGGGGGTCCTGCACCCCCCAACCCCAGCCTGAGCTGCCAAGGGACCAGCACCGGGGGACGCTCCGGCAGGGAGGAACCGATGAATCCCCACTGCTCCCAGGGAAGCTGCCCCCGCAGCAGGCGAGCAGCCAGCCCGGTGCCACCAGTGCCTGCCGGGTACTTACAACCTGATCTGGCCGGTGGAGAGGGCACTGGCGATCCAGAGCAAGTCCAGGGTTTTGAAGGGCACCAGCACGAAGCTGACGTTGGCGGGCAGGTTCTTGGCACTCTCGGGGTACATGAAGTGGTGCGTGGTCCGACCGCCCACGTCACCCTCGAAACCCACCGTGGGGGCCTGGTTCATCCTGGGGAGAGAGCAGGGAAGGTGGCACTCCCTCTCCCAGCCACCCTGTCCCTTGCAGACAACACGGGCATCCCCCACCAGCTGTTGAATGGCACCGTGGAGCCGTTTCCCAGACTGCTGATGCTCAGGGTGCTGGGATGAGGTGAGGGTCCCCCCAGCCAGGCCTGGGGAGGCGGCAGGGCTGGACCTGCTCCCACCCATCCCAGGACCTGGCGGGGCCCACGATGGGCTCCTTGACTGAGCAACTGGGACCAGGCTGCGGCTGTGGCTGTGGCGTATGGCACAGGGATAACCCGCCTGGCATCTCCCGACTCACAGCAGACCCCCAAGAGATGCCGCTGTGGTGCACAGTGGGAGCTCAGCACCCACTGGTGCTGCCAGCATTGCCCCACGCCTCTGTGCTTGCCCATGGCAGGCAGCACCCCTGGCAGCGGTCCCCTGCCCTCACCGCATGACAAAGTCGTGCCCGTCTATCTCCGGCCCGTAACCAGAGCCACGCAGGTTGCCCGAGTTGCCGACCACGGCGCAGCGGCGGCAGTGGTGCGGGTCGCGGGAGCGGTAGGGATCCTCGCCCGGCACGATTTGGAAGAGCTTGCTCAGGACCTCATGGGTGTTGTGGGACTTGAACTGGGGCTGCAGCATCTGCAGGGTGGGAGAAGGAGGGTGGGGAGCATCAGCCAGCGGCCCCCTCCTCACGGGTGGAGGAGAAAGCTCTGTCCTCCCTGCCAGAGCATGCTGCTGGGGGACACATGGTGGGGGAGACCCATCCCCTCGCTCACCATCCACCACCTCTGGACGTCGGGTGGCAGGTCCATGTTCTCCTTGGTCCACACCGGGGAGATGGTGCCGTCGTAGCGCCCATCAAACCAGTTGGCAGCCCCGGCCTCCTCGGCCGGGCAGCGGCGGCAGGCGCAGCCCCGGGGGTACGGCCCCCCCTTGCTGAGCCGCTGCATGCCGGCGTAGCCGGGTACCAGCTTCACCCGGTGGATGCCGGCCAGCCCGCCAGGGTCCAGGTAGGCGATGCTGTGGTGGGAGTAGGTGAAGAGGAGGGACATGACGAAGATGAGCAGGAAGGCGGTCGAGAGGAAGCAGAAGCGCAACGAGCACTTCATGGTCAGCGGGCGGCTGAGCCGGGGAGGGCGCCCGCTCCGGCATAGGGCTCGGGCATAGGGCGCAGGATGGCGTCAGCCGGCCAGCGAGGCTCCCTGCGGGACCAAGAGCTTTAAATCACTGCCATGGTGGCGGGGGGACACAGAGCCCCTCCATGAGCCTCCACGTTCGGCTCCTACCTGCCGGGCTGCAGCTTTCCATCCGCGTGGTCCAGCCGTGGCGAGGGCCCCCGGCGACTCCACGGGCCGGGCAGAGAGCATCCGCTGCTGACCGCAGCGGCACAGGGGTCCGGCACAGCTCGGCACACCGACCTCAACCGCAGCACCGCGCCTCAGCGGCTCCTCCAGGTCCCGGCCCCGGCTGGCTCTTGGTTGCAATGGTGCTCATCGTCCCTGGGCTTTAGCTGATCTGCTGGCATGCTGCCCTCCACCGCTGGCTCAGGAACACGGCCATGACGATACCGGCCTGGAGTGGGAAGGAGGGCACAGCGGGTTAAGGGACGGCAATGCACAGGGCAGAGCTGTGGGCCTGCATCGAGCAGGAGGAGGGTGCTGGAGGGGGGGGAGAGCGAGGAGTTTGTTTATTCCCTGTTGAGCTTTGCAAAATGCCACCCAGCTCATCCCCAGCACGAGGCTGCGAGGCACAAGCCGTCCCCAAAGGGGACAAGCAGGCGTGGGGTGCAAAGACAGCCGAGATGCTGGCATCGCCTGTCCGTGCCCGCTCCTCACGAGTGGTGCCGGGGGAGCTCCCAGCAGCTCCCAGGCTGTGCCCTCCCTGTCTCTGCCAGACAAAGGCTCAGCCATGAACTCGCCTCCAGAGCTGAACAAGCGGCTCCTTTCTGTAAGCTCAATCCTCCTTCTCTATCAAGCCACAAGCAGCCCCTCCAAAACCCTCTTCACCGGCTGGCCCCCCCGCCAAGACAGCCGGGAAACAGCCGGTTTGCAGCC